CCACCGCCGCTATCAGTTCGCCTGATCCAGGGTGAACTGGTAACAACCCACTACTGGTTTGGGGCTTCGGTCAGTCCTAAGAGGGAGATGAGATACATTTTTTTAAAAATCATGTATCTTTTTGAAGACATTTTTGTAGAATTATACAGCATTTAATCTGCTTTTCACATTTAAAAAACTAAGTCTCAGCATGGGAAGAGGTTTGATTTCCTTTTGCTAAAGGAAATTTTTTTCTCCTTACTTAGAATGGACAAAAAAGACTCCCATTTTTAATACTATAACATTGGAGTTACTTTGAGTATATCCCACTGAGATGTAAATCTCACTAAATTCAAGGCTGTTCCCAGGTTCAGGAATGAAGATTTACAGCAGTCCTTATTTTAAATCAGCAGATATTTCAGATTGGAGGCTGATAGAACAGCTAAAAATATTCCTTCCTACAGCCGATCTTCCTTTTTACAAAGCCTGAGATTCTCAGTATCAGAAAGCTAAGAATCAGATTTCTCTTTCAGGTAGATGTGAATAACATTCCCAAATCTGATGTGAGTTGAACAAAAAGCAATCAATATACTCTGTCTTGTGAGTCATTTAGTGTCATTTAACCATGGATTTAAACTGGGAGCTTTGCTTAAATATCAATGACACAATGCTGCTCTTAAAAAATGGTTAGCACAATAGGACAATTAAAAGAAGAGGAATGAGGCAACAATGGTGTTTCTAAATGTTTACATAGAAAATGACAGCCTAAAATAAGTTGTTTTTTTTTTTTTTTTACTATAGCTAGCAGTCTTCAACTACCATTCGGAAAGTAGTCTCTTTCACTTCTTGTGACATATTATCAATTGGAAAGCAGAGTTGATATTTAGTTTAGGACCCATTTCAAGGATGGTATGCTAATAAATTAGCTATTCTTACCTTACCTTACCCCCCCCACACCAAAAAAATCCCTTAACTTCAAGTATGGCACATTTAAAAAAAGAGAAAGGTATTTTATTTTAATGAAAACATACTTAGTAAGTAGTACTTAATGTATCCTGGCCCCAAGGACATCACCTGAAGTTGAATATCCTGAAATAATTGAAGTGCTATCATGTTCTGAAGAGGAGTGTCAACTATATTTCTTTTTCTTCCACAAGCTTCATGGGAGCAATCTTAGAATGACATTAGACAATGATTTACTGCAGTGGTTCTCAACCTTTTCTTCACCATGGACTCCCTTTAAATACCTTTTGTGGTCATAGATCAGGGCCATGGACAAACAAATCCATTATACTGAAGTTGTTCTGAATTTTTTTTTTCATTTCATTTTCTTTTTCATTTCACTTCAGTTTTCTATTTTTAGTGAGTGGGAAATATGTTGGTGGCAACTTGGTCAATACAATGGAGAATTATGCTGCTGGTTTTGATTAGGGGCATGGTCATGGAACCTAATTGCAACATTGATTGTTGTGGCCTCATGTTTTCAATTCTGTTTCAGTATGTTTTCAACAAGAGCTCATAAAACTCCTTGGAAAGCTACAACTTGTCTAATAGCTTTTGTTTGTAAAAAGTGCTTTTGTCCAGGCAAAGTTAATTAAAACTAACTAGTGAAGTAGAGTGATATGTATGTTTATGAACACAAGAAAGAGAAAGATAGACAAACAATTTGGACACCATAACTTAAGATGTAAATCAGAAGTTAAATTATTATTAGAATGCTAAAAAGACAGTATGTTCAACAGATTGCATTGCATGTCTAATGCATACAATTCTATATTTAGAAAATTTTATGTCCCTTTTTCCCTCAACTTCAAAGGAACTAAAATATATATTGTTTTCCAGAAAATAAGATTTTTTTATGTGTGCATCTAATATAAGCCCTACCCACAAAATAAGCCCTACTTAAGAGCCTGCCTGGCTGCCCTTTCCATCTAGTTGCTCGTGGTGCTGGGGCCACGACATGAGACACGATGGTGGTGGAGCTGCCCCATGCGCCCTGCATTGCTTACCTCAGGCCTCCTGTAGCCAGGCCATCTATGCCTTGACACCTGCCTTGTGGTGGCAGCACCAGCAGACATGTGCAGCAGGCCCACTTCTTCTGCTTGCTCATGGCTGCAACATAGCAGAAGGCTGAGGGGTGTGCTGGTGCCATGGTGGCAGCAGCGCACCACACAGCCTCCTGCCCCACTGCGAGCAAGCAGAAGTGGGCCTGCAGTACATGGGGGAAAAATAAGACACACCCCAAAATATTTTTTGGGGCCAAAAGAAAATAAGATCCGGTGTTATTTTCAGGGAAACATGGGTGGTACTGTTAATGGTATGATTAATAAACAGAATTCAGGTTTTAAAAATTAAATAGCAAAAGATCAGGGCTGTCATGCTCAATATTGTTAAAGAGGGGAGTTTAAAATGATCTCCCATAGATCACCTTCTCTTTAAATACCATCCTCAATGCAGCCATTTTTCAAAAGCATCAACCAGATGCATTTTTCTCCTATTGTTCTTCATAGCTTTCTGCTGTATGGGAGAAAAGGGGATAAGGAAAGGAGGGTATTATTAAAATTACATCTGAGAAGGGTTTATATTCCTGCTGTCCAAGAACTGATCACATAGACCTGGTTCAATCATTACATCAAACTGTAAAAGAGCTTTGTTTGGTTTTAGCATAACATATCACACGGGCCCAGCTACCATTGATAGCAGTAGCACTTAATACCACTTATATACCACTTTACCGTGCTTTCCAGCCCTCTCTAAGCGGTTTACAGAGTCAGCCTATTGCCCCAACAATTTGGGTCCTCATTTTACCCCACCTCGGAAGGCTGGAAGGCTGAGTCAACCTTGAGCCTGGTGAGATTTGAACTGCCAAATTGCAGTCAGCCGGCAGTCAGAGGTAGCCTGCAGTACTGCACTCTAACCACTGTGCCACTGTGGCTCAGTGATCTTAGTATATGCATGGAATCGATTAATAGATCTCATGGGGAGGGGAAAAAAAGGTGTGTTCTTCAGTATTCCAGAGTACAGAATATGCAGTCATGGATGGAACTATAGATCTAGTTGAAAGTTAGAAAAAAAATCCCCCCAAACAATCTGACAATAGAACTAATTATCGAGGCAGGTGGTGGGCTTCCCTTCACTGGATGTTCTTAAGCAAAGGCTGGACAGCCATCTGCCGGGAATGCTTTAATTTGGATCCCTGCCCTGAGCAGCGGGTTGGATTGAGGGCTTAAATGACCCCTGCCAACTCTTGCTTCTGACCTTTTACTTACAAAGCTTGTATTTTGCCACTGAACTCTAGCCATGTGCCTTCTGTGGCTTATTCACTGGAAGTAAAAGAGGACGTCTCAAGCATCCTTTCCAATTTACAAATAAGAATTAAAAACAAAAGGCAATTTTGTGGACATGATGGAAGCAAGGATGGTTGGAATGATGGAAAATGTAAGAGTTACAATTTGTGCAAGTGGAAACTAGACTTAGCTATGTTTTTTTCTCCGTTTCCTCTCTTATGCATCTAATTTCTTTTGTTTATTATTTATTAACACTTCTCTATATTTTACATAAGGTTGCCTATTCTGAGGAGGAGTAACATATATGAGAATGTAGAAATGGGAACCTTCATGACAAACTTTCCAAGGAGGATAAATAAATACCACAGGCATAGGGAATTTTAAGCTGTTGAAAAACAGCTGAAGTTTCATTTGAGCTGTCCTCTTATTCTCTTCATAATCTCCCTTGACAACTTTTATTTTGTCTTGTCCTTTGTAGTCAGTGGCCCAGTAAAGGGTGTGTATAGAAAAAATCCAATATTGATAGAACTCTTAGCGGTATATTTTAACTGATACACTTTTGATCCTTTCAAATGTTGAACCATATGTTTGTTAACTTCCTGCCTCAAAGCCATGCATATGCAGCATTACTGCAATAGTCACTAACAACTTCCGAAGTAAGTTGTTAGTCAAACTAGAAAGAACAGAAAGCAGTTGTTGGAAATCCCAGAAGGTACAATTTCCATAAAGAGTGTAAAAAGCACATGTAACATTCAATATAAACTTATCTGGATATGGGAGATCTATCATGAATGCCAACTTGCAGTCTGCAATGTGAAAACCAGCTAGATAGATCTTCTGAGATGACTTTAAGTCAAATATTGTAGTCATAACAGAAAAAAACGGAGCTCCAAATTTAAAAAAATCTACAGAATACATTTTAAAAAGCTTCAACTGAGTACATTGTGAAGAATTGTAGCTCGGCAATGACCAAGGTTGGTAACTCAAAAATATCACCAATAATATGAAATGGGAGGTGTTCATTCCAAGATACTATTATTTATGATATCAAAACCCGTAGATGACAGTTAGGAGAGAAAATATGCTCATGTTGAATATTTCTCTATTACTGTTACCTCTGGAAGAATATGCATTACCAAGTCTAATTTTCTCTTCAGCCTCCTTTTGGGTATATCCCAGAAAAAGTTATACTTCTTAAAAAGTTTACTTTAGGCTTTTTTAGTTTAATAAAGCAAAGCAAAGCAAACTCTCAGAGGATAACAATCATGCATTTTCCCAGATAGAGAATTGAAGATCACATCATTTTCAAATCCTAAGGAACATCCAGTCAAATTTCTGTGCTCTCTTTGAACACATATTCCGTATCATTTAACGCATCATCTTAGAACCCTTTCTTGTTTAAAAAAGAAAAAAAGTTCTATGTGGCAGAAATGATTCATTTTTGTAAGAAAAATCTCAAGCAGGCTTGAGTTTGGGGGAAAGGACTAGATCTGGAGCAATGTTAGCTATTTTTACATTTGTTATTAATATCCTATTAAATAAGAACCAAACATTTTATTTCAGAAAGATGTATTTAAATAACTATTTTTTCTATTAATAATTTCACATACATAGCCACCAATTACAATTACTAGATTATGATTATTATGTATGCTGAAACAGTCTTCAAAAGACATTATTAATTGTTTCACAATATATATATAACAAATTAAAAAAATGTTACTCAAGTAGCAATTGAAGGTGAACTGATTTATTAGACAGAATAATTGAAAAGCACCATTTTAAATTATCTAGATGACAGAGAATAATTTATAAAAATTAAAATGCAAAGGACCAGGAAGTGTTAAAAGATCATTAACATTATAGAAAATAATTCCTAAACTTCTCACTGAATGTATTTCCAATGCCAGCCCATTTTTCCTCCCCACATCAAACAAATTTCAAAATGTATTGAAATCTAGAGTTAGAAGAATTTTGCCAATTTGTAATTGACTTCAAACGAGTATTAAATTAACACACATACACAATAGCAGCAGTTACCACACAGTGCTTGCTAGTTTAGTTCAGTGGGTTCAATGCTTATTGATTATACCCCACCTAGTGCACAGGAGGGGATGTTAAGCACTTGCTTCAAATTCCTGATTCTAACCTCTCAGCCTCATTAGATGACTTCTGAAAGAATGGAAGCATTTAGGTATTCTAGTTTACCTGTAACAGGAAAGGACAACCCATTAAACAAACCCCGCACAATTACAGCTGTTACCTGCTATAGTGTTTAAAGTTTTTATAATACAAACCCTATATATCGCTATTCAGAAAGAAACTTTGTTAAATTGATGTGATTTGTTCCTTACAATTTTAACAAACGCTTTTGGTGAGGAAGCTACATCAAAAGAAACAGTAACTGAAGTTTTCCCTAATGTGTTTTCAAAACACAGAATGACATTCTGGCTACTGTGGTGAAATACAAACATCCTTTTGCAATGGAGCAGGCTAATGCTGAACAAATAAAAGACTGAAAAGGATCAAGAATAATAATTTGAAATATCAATGAAAAGGTCTGTTTTTGAAATAATCCAAGATCAATTACACTGATTGTCTTTTATCTTAATATATATACAACCATAATTGATTAGCAAATCAGGCTCATAAACTTGCTGTATCAAAATCCCTACGTGTGTGTGTGTGTGTATTTCTCTCTCATCTACCTACCTACCTACGTATCCATCCATCGATCCATCCTTCTATCTATCTATCTATCTATCTATCTATCTATCTATCTATCTATCTATCTATCTATCTGTCTACCTACCTACCTATCTATCTATCTATCTCTACCCACAAGATGAACTTACAGTGCTGGCAGATTATTGTGGCAGAAGAACAGCTGGAAAAATAGGATAAATACATAAACCAGTAACTCCGCTAATTTAGGGCATTTCCATACTGTTCCAATTTTTCAGTCCCCGATCTTCAAAAGCAGGTTCTGCCAACTTTACAAGACTGAGGCAGAGTGAACAGTCATTGCCCTCGAACAAAATACTCTCAACTCTCTTTCCTCACAAAATGATAAAATGAAGTTTACATAACTCTCCTCAGGTTGGCTACATTCGTCTTTTAAAATAGTCTTGAGTGGATATTCTGAGGGGGAGGTGCACAGCTATCAAGTCACCCTTCTCTTCAAAAGATCTGCAAAGCCCAACTGTTGGGAGGAGGTTTGAGGCTCTACAGAAGCTAAATCAAGCTGTAGCATTTTAAAGAAAATGTTAGATTTACAGCAGTTTCAAACACACTCTAGCTGAGCCAGAAATAAATTGGTTTAGTTCTCAAGCCCAGCCAAGATTATAGCAGCACAGATGTTCAGGAGTGCTTTCAAACTGGAACAATATTCTTGTCAGGAAGTTTCTTTAGCCTATCTGATTGATTGATTGATATGATTGATATGATTTATAGGCTGCCCATCTCGAACTAGTAACTCTGGGCAGCGAACAAAGCAAAAACAACACTGCCATGATACCTGAGGTTAAAACACTAAACCAAAGTCATAAAAGCAGCCTTACCACCAGAGTTTACCTAACGTAGCCCAAACGCCTGGGGAAACAGCCTGGTCTTCGTTGCCTTACAAAAAACTAACAGGGTTGGAGCCATCTGGGCCTCTGCAGGGATGCTGTTCCATTGGATAGGCACTACCAGATGGAAGGCATGGCTCCTGGGTCCAAAAAGATGATACTGCTTGATGAAAGGGACTTGGAGCCCATCCTCCCTGTCAGATCTGCTGGGGTGTGCAGAAACAAGAGGTGATTCTGCAAATAGCAAATGTAGGGCTTTATAGGCGATAGCAAGCACCAAGCATTGTACGCAGTAACCTTCTCAAAACCAGTGCATCTTGCACAGCAGCGGTGTTATATAGCTGTAATAAGTAACACCAAATTTAATTGTGCTACTGCATCATTCCAGACCAGCTGCAGCTGCTGAAAATTCTTCAAGGGAGGTCCCATATAGACCATGTTACATAGGAAGCGACTAAGGCATGAATCACTGTGATCTGAGAATGGGTAATAATTCAGTGGTGGTATTCAGCCGGTTCTATCCGGCTTGGGCGAACCGGTAGCGGCGGTGACGGGAGGCTCCGCCCAGACATAATCACGTCCCATTTTTGATTCTCTGCACATGTGCAGAAGGTCCTGCGCACACGCGCTCACATTTGCGAACTGGTAGCAAAGGTAAATGAATACCACCCCTGGTATAAATGTTGCAGAAGACAAAACTGTGAAGACATCTCCATAGCCATAATCGAGTCCAAAAGGACCCCCACATTTTCTGAACTACTCCATTTGGGAAAATGCATTGCCAGGCAGAGTTAAAGACAGGAGATCTCCAGACGTAGGTGCTTAAACCCAATAGCCATTTAGTCTTGCCAGGCCTGAGCCAAAGCCTATTTCTCCCATCCAGATCCCCACAGCCTTTAGGTGCTTGGTGGAGGCCACTGGAGATAGCAGAATCACTTGGTTGGCCTGAGATTGAAAGATATAATTAGGTATCATTAGCATACTGATAATATGAACCCCAAAATGGCATGACCTCACCCAGTGGCTTCTGGTAGATGTTAAATAGGAGTGGGAGGACAGGAAAGCCCTGAGGCCTGCCACAGAGCAGAGGTCTCAGGTTCAACTTCTACACTCCAACACCATTGACTGGGACCAACCCTGGAGAAAGAAGAACCACTGTAATAAGTACTTCTCACTCCCAATCCCCTGAGCCGGAGATAGCAGTGAAGGCTACTGAAACTAAGAAGGGCCAGGATGAATGTACCATCCCATTCCAAACCTACTAGAGATCATCAACAAGGTCAATCAATGTTGCCTCAGTACTGGATCTGCCTGAACCTGCTTACAAAATTTAGTTTTTTTCAGACAATGGGCATTAGATAAGTGAAAATAGCAGCAGAGGAGTCAAGCACAAGACTCAAATAGATAAGCTGGCTTTACTGCAGATGCCAAAGTCCTTATAGTGAAGATCAGCTACTGCAGAATCTAGGAATCTAGCTATATTTATTCAGTTCTAGTGTCTCCTCTGCCTTTATGTGATAACAGACTTTTTGACACTCATTTCTCAGCCTTGGGTGTCAAGGGCACTTTCACAGTGTTTCTCTGATCTCTGGCTCTTCACTTCCCTTATCATTGGCTGAAAACGTTTCTCCCACCCCCCAAACAATCAGAGAATCTGCAGCAAAGAATTTCTGAAACCACTGCAGCATCACAAAAGCAAAAGTGAGAGATGAGACTATCTTGTGCACAGAAACCTGTTCACGACACACTGAATTTAACTCTAGATTTTTAGGATTTAAATTCTGATCTTCCCAATACTATGTGTAAATGCATGGCCATTAAACTGTGAAATAATAACAATTATATTAATAAAGGAGAATATTTGTAGCTCAGGGTTGACATGAGGGGTCTATGGTGTTCTCTGAGCTTGCTTGTTTTTTCTTGCAGACTAAGTAACCCAAACTTAGTTTGGGTTACTTAGACCCAAACTAAGTAACATCATCAGTGCTAGTAAGGAGTGCACTTTGCTGTCAGGTTTATATTCTGGTGGCTTGCCTGTCACCACCCCTAGGAACACTTGACACGCAAATCACCAGAATATAAAGCTGACAGCAAACTGCACTCCTTATAGCACTGTTGATATTACCTAGTTTAGGTAATGAAACGTCTGCAAGAAAACAAGCAAGCTCAGAGAGCACCAAAGAGCAATCACATTTTCAAGGTGATAGGAATGTGCAAACTGTGGCATTCATGGATGCAGAGGCATCAATTCAAAAATTTGTACTTCATAAGCTATGAGTCTATATAAGCTAGACATGGTCCCGTTGTTCTGCCCCAGCTCCGGATTCCCAAGGATATTGACACACACCAACGGTCCTTATCAAATTTATTAAGTAGCGAGAATAAACCAAAGTCTGGCAACCAGCCCAGAAAACAAGATATGATAAGACTTTTCCAGAAATGCTCTGATGATAATTACAAGTTGTTTCCAGCAAGAAACTTACTAATGGTGTGTGACTTAAATAGACTAAGGGAGTGGCCAATTATCCTCAAGCCTTACTCTCGAGGTGACCTCCTCCTCCTGAGTAGCCACTCCTGCCTTTTGGCAGCCCTGCGTGCTCGAGCATTGAGGAGAGGCTCCTCCACTTTGCTCTCTCCACTTGAAGGAGCCTCTGGAGGTTCTGAAGGCCCTGGCTGAGTCTCTGGCACCACATCCTCTTTAGCCTCCGCGCTGTCCAACGTGAGCGCCGACCGCACCGGCTGCTGGCGCGACACCACACCAGCCTCCTTGTCATCGGGATCAGCCACGATCCGCGCAGGCCGCTGGCGGGCCACAACACCCGTAGCCATGGAGTTCACTAAGTAGGAAAGAGAAGCTGCAAACAAACAAAAAAAAGTCCATAGCCATTTACCAGTACTTCAGTGGTTCTTATTTAATCTTCCCTTTCTTCACATCAGCCTTTAGGTCTGTAGTTTTCAAAATCAATCCTACTAATTGATTAGTAGGCTAATCCTACATAGAAGTACACTATTTTTAATATATTTATCTTGCTGAACAGCAAGAAAAATAATTGATATCATAGGTTAGGCAGGGTTGGTCCAAAAGCTTTCCTCAACTTCAACAACAATTAGAGAGAGAGATCCTATATAAAACAGATCTTCAATTATCAGAGAAACATGGCAAATGTATGCATTTAGGTAAACATGAATTTTAATAGATCTGAAATCTACATTTGATACAGAAATGAAGCTGTTAGCATAATAGTATGTTTTTCCTATATTTTTTCAAATGCAATAAATATCAGATATAATCTATAGGTTCTGTTGCATATTACCTTCATAGCAATAATATATCTCCATGAGAAATATAAGGAAGGTTCAATTTATGTAAGCTATGTAATGCTTGGGTATGAATATTATCAAACAACTGCATGTTCATAATATATATTTTTATAATATAGAAATAGCTCTTCAGTTAAAACATAACTTGCAAGAAATATATCCACGCATTTTGCAAAATCACAGAAAGCACCTTCAATTGTCAACCACTTGTAGATTTGAAAATGGAAGGAACTCAGTATCCATGAGTCATTTGTTGATCAAATACCTAGTTTGTAATTTTGATCAAAATGCACTTCAAAAACTTCATTTTGTGGTTTGACAAGTTCATAAGAAAACACAATTAACAAAATCACAATTTGCAGAAAGCACCTTCAAGTTAGGCAATGCACTCGGGATGTTCAAGCATGGATATTATGGATATATAGGCTTCCTCCCCCTTGTATCACAGGGGCCTATTTGCCAAGAACATACAGCTATATATCTAGCCCATCATCTTGAACCAAGAGGAAAACATAACTCTTGTCTGATGAGAAACCAGGTGCGTTTGTGCTATGTAGTCTCCTTTCAGAGATACAATTGACAAAACTTCTTCAGAAATATATCTGGGAAAATGAAGTACATGAATAGAGTGGGTTGAATTCCACTTCACTTTCTTAATCTAACATATATGTAGATTAAGCTGCTGCAATTCTGCATAACTGAAAGTTCTGCTTTCACTTAGAACAGGGGTCGGCAACCTTAAACACTCAAATATCCACAAAGGTCCTAACCGGCAGCCCCCATTCAATTCTGGAGCTGACCGGAAGTCCACTTCCCCCACCATAGAGTCTCCTCCTAGCACGGCGTCCTTTTTCCTCTACCTATCCTAACCGAAAGCCCTATCAATTGTGGAGCCGACCAGTGACAGAGAGCTGCAGCAGAGGGATGAAAGAGCGACATGCGGCTCTAGAGCCGCAGATTGCTGACCCCTGACTTAGAAACTCAAATTACAATATAATACTGTTTCCACACATACACACACCAACTACTGGTTTCTACGTGGTCTGATTAGAAATGGAAAGATGCTTTTTGGGTTTTTTGGTACAATTTTGCTTACTTTACTTTTTGCTGACTAATTAAATTTTTTTCAAGAATTTATCCCTTTAGTGGATAAAACACAAACCTTATTTATAAAACTAAACAGTTAAGTTGTATCCAATAATAACAAGGGATGCTTATTGTTTCATTTTTACATTGAAAATGTTATCCTATTATGAGAGAATTGATTTTTTTTTAAAAAATTGCTTGTTTGCATTTTGTGTAAGTTGGCTAGATTGGCCACAAGAGTTCAAGTTTGTCACTGTTGTGCTTTTTTTTTTCTTTTTTTTTTTTTAAAAAGGATCATAAATGGTTGGCATGATGTAACTTCCCCCTTCCCCCTTACTTAGCATAAATAATGACTTGGTGAGGAATTGTTGCTTTTCTTGGCTATTCCAACCTTTTCCTCTTCACGATATTAACTTTGATTTTGCAATGTAAGCATTCAGCATCCAGCTTTTCCCTGGAGCTTCTGCGAAACATGTTGGTGTTCAAGGAGGTTAAATCAAACTGAACATAAATCCAGAATCCAATATCCAAAAGAATTTTAGAGAATGGTCACTTGCTGAGCTAGGGTCTACTCAATATCTCTGAATCTTAAACATAAAATCCTGTCTCCTGACAATGGGCAAAGTTCAAGGATCAAGAATTCATAGAAAACTAGTCCCCTTCAACATATCATAAAATAGTTTAGACACATTTTATATATCATCTATATCACAATCCTCATTCAAGGAAAAATGGCATGCAACAAATCACATTCGAATATATGAACAAAGGTTTTACTTGGGCATATAACCGCTCAAAAACAATTCTTATAGTAATTTGAGCAACCCTCTAAAATACCTCATGGCAAATTTACTACAAGTGAAGTTTTGGATAAAATTGGATCTGGGCCCTTGAATACTGTCTCAGCTTCTGGAAGGCAAAAGGCATGACCTTATATCACGTGAACAGTTTTCTTTGAACTACAAAAACAAAGTTACTGTGTAATACCTAAAGACACTAAATGAAAGATCTATTCAAAATCAGAATCTAACTTTATAAAATATGTAGAGAGTATTATTTTACATTTATCATTTTCCACAGAGAATACATTTTTAAACTGCTCTAAAATTTCAGTACAAAATAAGTGTAAATCAAGTTGAATAAAAATATATTATACTAAAAATTTATACTTTTATCTGTATATAAGCTAATTCTGTTGCTCAAAACCAACAGTACAGCATTGTCTGGTTTTCTGTAAATGTTTAGAATTTCTCATTCATCTGAGGTATTCAGAAAACAAGTTAAACATAAACACTTCTCTTTCTGAGTTTTTGTTATTTCTTTTGTATTTCTTTAAACCTTCTATCTTACTATTATCAATTATATTCTTTCCTTTTCATTAAGTAAACAAAGCTTATTTTTATTTTCTTTCAGTACCCTGGCAGAACTAACCCTATTTATATTTCCAATGTTTATAGCACCGTACTGACTGTCTTGCTGTATATTTTCCACACTTTTAAAGTATGTACATATTTCGTACCTCAGTCTTTGCAAGTAAACAAGAGTATTTTACCACCAAAGATACTATACTGTATATTATTTTAAGTGCACAGTTGCATATATTCATGCAGACTTTATAGGAATGAAAAATATGTGGAATGTATATAATGGGAACAAAAAGTTGGCCCCTTATAGTGACACAAGTTGTTTTATTTGCATCATCAAACTATACACCGTCTCTCTCTCTCTTCCTTCCCCTCCTTCCTTCCCTTCATATCCTTTGAATCATAAATAAAATGAATCATTTGTCCCAAATAAACATTTGGCATGCAGGGAGGAGGGGGGAGAGAGAAAGAGAGAGAGAGTGTACAGTAGAATCCATAAATTAATTAAACTGACAAATTTCAACTTATTTCATTCTACGGACCATCTACACCAGTGGTTCTCAACCTTCCTAATGCTGTGACCCTTTAATAGAGTTCCTCATGTTGTGGTGACCCCCAACCATAAAATTATTCCTAAAACCATTGAAAATATGTGTTTTCCTATGGTCTTAGGCGACCCCTGTGAAAGGGTCATTCGACCCCCAAAGGGGTCCCGACCCACAGGTTGAGAACCACTGATCTACACCTTAAAGAGCAATTTGTGGCATGAATGCTAAAAGTTTTTGGGTGCTGCTATAAGTAAGGGGGGCATTATTCCTATCAGTCATGACCTCTGTGACTATAAGGGAAAATACTATAGACTAGAACACTGTTTCAACTCCAGTACTGATGAAAAAGCCCAATGCGGTCAGAGTCTGGGTTTCTAATTATGTCTTTAGTGTGGCAGGGAGGAACCCTGTGACGAAAGAGAGAAGCACTAGAGAAGCTTGGGCAAATGAAACAGTGTCTTGCACAAGGAAACAGACCCTCTACAGATACATAAAAACAGTGTGCATGAGGTTTCCTCCAAATAGCTCATTGGAGCAGATTCTTATTTCTGTTTGGCAGTAATTTAGCTTAGCTTGGTTGTGGATCAGGATTTGTGTCTGGTGCTTATTCTCTAAGAAATTAAAAGACAGTTAAAACCAAGAGTTAATTCATATAGCAACCTGCTTTTTCCCAATCAAACCTATTACTTTCCGGTAGATTTCACTTTCTAATATTTCTGAATTCAAATTGTCCTAATACAAATATTTAAATTTAACAACCAAGAACATTCCAAGAAACAGTGCCCTTTCTTTTCAAGAAAGCGTAGTGTAAATTGAGAATGACTGCAAAGAAAGGAGAGCTTTTTTTGTTGTTTGGTTCCAATTTTGCCACCCGTGGCTTCCTGATGTGCTTTTCTTCATTCCAAGTTTCTGTATTTGGTGAACAGATTGTAGAGCACTCTCAGTGTTGACTTCAAGTCACAGTTGACAATGTCTAAAAAGAAGGAAAAGTGGGGGAGGGAAAGAAAGGTGAGCTTTTCAAATAACCTGAAATCACAGTGAGCAAATTAAAAGGCCCACATTGGGAAGAAACATAATCACACATTTGTATTTATAGGCCAAAACTGCAGTTCTTCTATATAGTAAGACTACTGAAAGCTATTTGATTTTAATAGAGTTTTAGCAGCCAACCTACAGGATTATAATAAAAGCTAGCTATAAGTGACAAGTGCATTCCTTTGGAACAGGCCTTTGCAGCTTTGGACCCATGAAACCAAATGCAACCCACCAACTATCTAATTATGGCTCACTAAGTGGGCGATAGACCTTCTGGTTTTGCTGCTCACGTGGGATTACAAGCATATGGGGTGATCAGGCACTTGGCAGGCTACAAGTGGTTCAAAAGACGTGTTAGACTCAGTTGGTCAAGTTGTTCTGTAGCTCTGATTTTGTTAGTACAGCTGAAGCTGAAAACCTAGAAACCCGAACATTTCTCAGGCTTCTGCGTGGCCTAGGAGGACTTTTTGACTAAGATGAGACAACTGCTCTAGCTGGACTGCCACCATCCACTGACCAAAACCAGACGTTTAGGCTTAACATGTCTTCCATAAGCCATGTCACTCATTTTCTTGCTGCTACAGCAAAAAAGACATTGTCAGGGTCCTCCAAAACATTTGCCAGCTCTCTCATTGAGCTTCCAGTGTGTGGTTTTGGCCAGACATGGCTCTCTGCAATGGTCACCAGACTCAATACCTCTTACTAAGAATTCCTCAGAGCTGTGCATTGGAGAGCAGGCTGCCACCAAAGGCTGCTCTGAAAATTCTTCAAACTGAAGTAAGTATGGAGTTAGTTGTTCCTGGCAGTAGGTTTGGAGAACTGTGGGAGGAGCCTAATTCCAACCTGCCATTCTTGGTTTGCCCACTGAGGCTGGGATGTATGCTGAATGTGAGCCAGTCCTGCAACTTGTCTCAAGCCTTATCTTATCTCAGTGAATATCCATTTGGTTCTGAATGTCAATACTGAACACAGGATTTCTAAATGGACTAGCAAGTCCTTTTATGCTCTTCGGGATACCATAACGATTTACTTTTCAAGAATGATAGAATCTAAACTTGCAGCCCTGACTCTGCAAATTGGACAACTATCTTCAGGGAAGTCTTTTGGCAAACCATACAGAGATAGTTTACATTCCTCCAGGAATGTAATGTCTCATTGTGCCAGTTTCACCTACAGCTCTGGAATTTCTTATTGATCTCCCAAGCAAGGATTAACTAGATCTGCCTAAGTTTGCCCAAGATCTGCCCAAGTTTAAGTTTCTGAGATAGACTAAATTCAATTGGGTTTGCTGCTCAGAAACAAGGTAGCATTAAAATCAAGAAGAGGTATTTTAAACATTTGAACAAGAATTCAATAATGAGTCTAATTACTGTACTCAAGATTGAACATTTATCAGAAACCAAACAAAAGAAAAAAAATAAACTTTGGATATTTTGAGTGGGATAGCAACAGCATTTAGGCTTATATACCATCCTATAATGCTTTATAGCACTCTCTTGGCAGTTTACAATGCAGGAGTATTATTTGCATATTGCCCCCCACAATCTGGGTCCTCATTTTAGCAGCCTCAGATGGATAGAAGGCTGAGTCAACCTTGAGCTCTGTCAGGATTGAACTCTACGCTGTGGACAGTTAGCCTGCAATATTGCACTTTAACCACTGCGCCGCCACTACCATGGATAACAGCTGGATTTAGTTTATTTTTGGTTTTAGCCTCATACCCTCATGATGAGTAGGCTGACCACTTCCCAAATTCCCAGAAATGGTCCAGGGCTAACTGAGTATTCTGGAACTCTCAGTCCAATTCCATCAGAGCACTTTCTGGGCAAGCATGAAAACCAAATGCTATTTTAAAGACCACCATTATATTTTTTCTCTCTTTGGGCTCCATGCACACTACAACATATTCATACTATGCATCAGGCCGGTACTAGGGAAAGATTCTAATTTATTGTGTGTTGTCTTTGGCAAATACATTCTATATTAAGATATTAAGAAGAACTGAATATGAGATTGGATCTGCTGCCTTGATTGCTTTCGAGACCGCTTATGTGTTTAGAACACAGATTAATACAACATTTGATTTATTCTGTCAGTTGCAGGTGCACAGAAGGCATTTTAAAATAGTTTGTTAAATGACCATTATAGCTTCAGGTTATTTAAATATTGGTTATTTCAAAACCTTGACAATGAGATCCCAAGGGCAGCTTGTGGAAACTTCAATGCCCCCCCCCCTTTTGTAATGCCTGTCAGGCTTTCTGCATTATCAGATTATCTTTTTCTTTTAATCCTTGTTTTCTTAAAGAGAAGTGGTAGGATGAAATGCTCCAAAGCAAAAATGCAACCCTTCAGCATTCCTCTTCCCCTCCCCTCCCCGAATACTTCTATTCTCCATAAAAATGAGGATGAATGTGTGAAGAACAGTGCAATGTCTATCATTGAGAATTGGTGCCCATGAAGGGGGGTTGGTGTAATGGACTACAATGAAGCAGCAGTTTCCCAGGAAGTGGGGAACACATTCCAGAAAGGGGGGTGAGACAAGAGGTGGCACAGCCTGGAATTGGTTGGAGACAGAGGAAGAGTTGAGATAGCCATTCCCTAGAATCTTCCGGGATATATTAGTTAGGGCGAGAGTAGAATCTGGCAAGATTCTGTCTATTGTGGTGTAGGCTACTAAATAACTAAATTCTGGCTGAATCGCTCCTCATCATTCTTGGGCTTAGCCTGACATAAAAAGGATACATGTAAGCCATACTAGGAGCACAGAGTGGCATTTCATAGTTTGGACACACACACACATCCACACAACTAGCTTTTTAACTGGTTATGCCAACAATTTCAACTTGTAAGGGCAACTCTCCCGCTGCAAACGTTTTATAAGAATGGCCAACACACTCTTAAATGTCCTACTGGGCCAAAAAGGCCAAGGGCTCTGCTTTTGTCAATCATTCTTGGTAGAAAGGACAATGTTACAGTTTTGAGGAAAGATATTGCTAGATATTGAGTGGCAGTAAAAATAAATGATTTTTACACGGTTTACAAAAAACTTATGCTGAACTTGCCTCTTTATTTATAAGAATTTGCCTCTTTAAAGCTGCTTGAATGCTGGGTGAGGAACATTTTATTTCATTGGTGACAAAGGTGCCCGTTCTGTTCTAGACAAAAGATCTGATATCCAATTTCTTATTCTGTTCCTGTTCCTAACTATTTTTTCATTCAGAAAAACAAGGGAAGAATTTAAAAGCTATTTTATATGCACTCCGCAATTATTAAAATGCTTTTCAATACACGGGTGCTTGCTGGAAAATTTAAGCATAGGCATTGTGCCCAGATGTAACAACATATAAAACAGATGTGTTTTTCCATTCATATTGAACAGGAAATTTCATATTAAGCATGTTAATAATTGTACATGAATGCTGAAATGTCTGTATGGTTTGATTTATACCAGAGGGGGAAAAATCAACCATTTCTCTAAGCAATAAGTACCTGAAAAACTGAAATGCTGTAATAACATTAATGGGCCATAAGGGATAGGGAATCGTAATGTTTCTCCATTTTCAGCCTAACTCTACAATTCCCACTCTATCTTCACTCAGTTGGACTGATGCCACAAGGCAAACTTGAATCCATAAGTAGATAGATAACACAAAGTAGCTCCTGCTAATCTTAACTCGCAGCGTTTCTATTAGTTGTTGTTTTTAGGACATTTTTAAAAATCCAATCCCCCCCTCCCCCCAACACCTTTTAAAGGAAAAAGTGATTTAGGGTGAAATAGTATTAAAATAGCAAATCCTAGAGGACAGGTAATTGTATTTGCCAGAGAAAATGGAGTGAATTGTCGTAAGTTATACCTAAGACAAAATACTACAGCAAATAGATTAATATAAGTGATACACATTTTGTCCCACTTCTACAAAGTGCCATGTCCAGATGGGAAATAGTATATTCAGGGTATGCCCTATTCTATGCTGACAAACTGTAACATTTCCATGGCTATCAACAAAGTCACTGAATCCTAATCTGAGTTGATGTTGAACTTCATAGAATCCCACAATCCCGAATGGTGATTTCAGTCATATTAGAGAGCTGCACAAGGATGAGCAGAACAGCCCCTCCCCCAAACCCCCCCATGATTTCTGGAATTACCCTTGCCACCTATGTGTTTGGCATTAAATTCATCAATGGAGCTCTTGACAGATTCCGGAAAATAATTATTTCAATCACCTATATTCTGAATGTATAGGTCGTCCTCAATATTATAACAGAGTCTGCTCAATAATCAAGTGATGATGGCTGTAAAGCAGGTTGGTCATGTGACCAACCCAATTTTAATGACCTATATTGTGCAGTCACTAAGCAAATAACAATAGCACTTAGACTTATACACTGCTTTACAGTGCTTTACAGCCTTCTCTAAGAAGTTTACAGAGTCAGCATATTGCCTCCAACGATCTGGGTCCTCATTTTACCCACCTCGGAAGGATGGAAGGCTGAGTCAACCTTGAGCTGTTGAGACTCGACTGCTGGCAGCTGGCAGTCAGAATTAGCTGCAGTACTGCATTCTAACCACTGTGCCACATGCTGCAGTTGTTAAGCAAATGCCACAATTGTTAAGTGAATCGACACTTTGGTGCCAATTTTACTAAAAAACAACTGCTTCTTTTGACAAAACAATCATAAAACATGGTCACGTAATCGCAGCACCCTGTAAGTGGCCATCAATGGGGCCTGGTTGCCCAGCACCTGAAGTGCAGTCATTGGACCATCAGAACATGGCATATGGATTAGACTCCAGGTAGGTCTGTTGGAACTTTGGTCGCTAAGCGAATCAATTGTAAATTGAGAATTTACCTGTATCAGTTACCTGTGGGAAATCTTGTGATTATGGTAGGATTATGATAAGTAAATGTCCTTTTAAAAGTCTTATAAAATCTGTATTTACAGAAAGAAGATCATTGATACTATTTCTGGAAATCATCAAAGCTATTCTAAAGATAAGATTTGGAAATTATCAAATTTCTTCTGGGCTGAAAAAAAAAGAGAAACTTTTAAGATCTACTTAAGATATTAGAATTTCATTTGTTTGTGTTTCTAAGAACATAACAAATAGCAGTGGAAAATTAATTAATCCTCATAATTAGGAGACTATCAAATGAAAATAGGCATTTATTTCCTATGAAACCTTCCCTAAAATTTTAGGCGGCTTCATCAATGAAATGCATTCTCAAGACATTCAACAAATACCTTCTGGCCTTGGTTTTGGTTTTTCCAGCCCTCCATCTTGCATTAACTCAAATGCAAATGAGACATTGAGTACCTGATGGGTTAATTAAGAGAAAGCAATTATTCATAATTCTAGACTTGTTTACTAATACGACATAGCATAATGAAGCAGAATAATACTATAAAAATAGAAGAGTGACATTCATTTAATCTTTATTTAAATCAAGTGTTATTGAGGTTTTTTGTGCAGTGCTATGAACTCTTTTAGGATGATGACCAGTATAAACATAAATAGCCAAATTAATTCTTCTTTAAATGCATAAAAGTTTACCTTTTGTTCAAAACTGTCAGGAGTTAGAAAAAAGCTGTGAAGAGGCACAAAATAACCTTCAAGAAGACCCATCAGCAGCACCAGGTATACACCATCTGCAAACTTTTAAAAATAACACTTTTTTAGATCTAATCTTGTAAAGATCACTCTTTGACATGATAAAAAAGTAATTTCTTGTTTTTAAAGTTTTGTAAGTATAAACAGTGATGCAACACAGACATTCCTGTCATTAAGAATGGTAGAACTCAGGTACTTATAAGTGGTTCAGAGGGGCTGAAGCACCTGACCAAGGGAAGCTCAATCATATTATAAATATCTGATATGACTTCAAGCAAACCAAGTTTCTGTTGTCCACGTTACATAAAAAGTATTAACATATGTGGCATCCTAGCAAAAGATTTAAAAAATAGCTTCCTTTGAGCTGAATTTGATTTCAAATGACTTCTGCAGACACATCCATACAATTCTCTTGGCTTGGTATGAAAATGGCTTGTCATCACCTTTTTTTCTGGTTTTGTTTTATTTTTATTTTGCAAATTTAGCCACTAGCCCTGGATTTCCTATAAAATAGTAAGCAGGAATACTCCTGTTTTTTAGATCAGCCTAGGTCCATTACGAAGTGCTACCATTTGCTCAAACAGCAATTCTACCTGAAAGCATTTTTAATACACAAGACAAATCACTGCAGGTTTGCTGGCATGCTTTAGATTGTTTTTATTCTGCTTTTATTATTTTTCTAAATAACTCAAGGCAGTGAACATATTTAATGTTCCTTCCTCCTCATACTTTCCTGACAGAATTCAGAATTTTCCTGAATTCACTATAAACTGAATTCACTGCCATTCAAAAGTCAAGGGATTTTTTAAAAAATACGGTACATGTATTGTTTTTTTCTATATTTAATGAAAGAGAAGAGACAAGGCTCTTTGCTTTAATTTAAAAGGAGCAGAAATAGGAAAAAACGACAACCCTATTGTTGTATTTTAGCATACAATTTGGACCACATAATAAACCAGAGTTCAGGGTAATGCTCAAACTATGTGTTATATCACCATAGTCATTTTCATCTTAGCACCATTGCTTACCATCATCAGTTTAACCTCCTTTAGTCAGACCCTAATTATTTCATTCCTCTGCCACAAATCCTCTTTCATTTTAAATCCCCATTATTGAAACACTGCCTTTCAGATGTTATTGACCCTTAGCCTCTGGCAAAGCAATCCATCTCTCCATTCGGCTAATGCCACTTTCAATAGCATATTTTGGGGGACTTCCAGTAGATTTTGAGTCAGAAAATGACAATTGGGTAAACAATGTGACATGTCAACCACCAAAACAAAGGAACGTTATTCTTTTCCCATTTGAATATCACAAGATTGTAATTTTCCTCAGTATCTTATTTTTTTTCTCCTCTTCCTAAATGCATACAAATTTCTTTATATGTCACAGAAAAAGGAATACAATTCCTGCCAAAACTTCCTTCCTATCACCAGCTTTCACGCAGATGGTTTCATGGGAAAAACTTGGGGTGGGGGTGGGGGGGGGAAACGACACACCAATGAAGACAATGAAAAACTGTGCCAAATATAATATGGCTGCTGGACTTTTCACTGGGGTATTCAAGAAGAGGGGCTAGTTTTAGATTTCTAAATTGGATTAAAGGCATCATTGTTTCTTAGGAGGCAAATATTTTACTGCTTTTATTTTAAAGCAGGGCATTAAAAAAAACCCTACAATACACAGTAGCTCTATGATAGTCTCAACTTCGGCTGCATAGATTCATGCTCTGGTTAAAAATGGCATTTTCTTCTCCATGGGAATTTTCAAAACTTTAACTCCAATTATTGTTTTTTTGTTTTTTTTTTAATGGAGAAATCAAGTGTAGATATGGTGGATTTTCTAGCAAATGCAAACAAAACAAGATTTTTGTGATTCTATGAATTTTCTTTTGATACAGTGAAGAAAAAGAAGGTGTTCTCTATTATGGAATATTAATATAAATGCACATTATGACATATTTTCTCCTGGTATATTCACAGAACCTGGCAGATCAAACAGCCCAGTCCATTATTGTTACATAAAACCAAAAGGTTCTAGTTTAGCCATTCCATACTTGGTCAGATGGATTCTGTCATCTAGCCAGCAAACATATTCAAAGTTTTCTGACTTTTTCATATGGATGGCTTAGCTTTCATTTAATCTATTCTTACCACAAATATTTTAGTCATTCTATTATGTATCATGTTATAGCTTTGTTGTTAACCAACAAGAGCCCAATTTGATTGTATCCTTCTACAAATTTAATAAATGAAAAAGTATCTAACAATAGCCATAGTTTCAGCTAGTAAACATGATTTTTGTTTTGAACCCATGATATAATTGTAAAAAAATGAAGGAAGGACAAGAAAATAAAAGATAATGCTCCAATATATTTTCACCTCCATTGATTACATGGTACAAATTGGAATAATGTTAAGAAACTCTTCTACTTTTCTAAATACACCTATATAATCCTACCTGGGTTTCTAGTTCCGTAACTTCCAGATTCAGCTTATTGAGGTGCTTATTCACAAAAGTAATAAGAGTCTAGAAATTAAGAACATAAGCTTTAAAGTTTTTAAAAACAGAGTCCTGTAAAACATGCACTCTGAGCTTTAAAATAATTTAGCATTTAGTAAATCCGCTTGTTTGTTGGCTTTTGAGAAAGAGGAAAATGCTATGGAACTCCATCCCAACTACTGAATAAAGAATGATTACATATTGCTGGGAAATATTTAACACACACACACACACACACACACACACACACACATATATATGTTTTCTCAGGTTTTCGCGGGTGTTTGTATGTAGGTCTTGGTTATTCGGGTCTTCTCCCACGTAAAATTGGAAGTGTCTTGGCGACGTTTCGACGAAGTCTCATTCGTCATCTTCAGGCTGGTGTTCTCGGCTTCGTGCTTCCAGGAGCAATATTCCAGGATTGCTCCTGGAAGCACGAAGCCGAGAACACCAGCCTGAAGATGACGAATGAGACTTCGTCGAAACGTCACCAAGACACTTCTAATTTTACGTGGGAGAAGACCTGAATAACCAAAGACCTACATATATATATATATATATATATATATATATATATATATATATATATATATATATAACACACACACACACACACACATACACACACACATATACATATACATATACATATACATATATATATGTAGAAGAAGCGATAGACATCACGATCTCCGGAACGTTTAGAAGTTTAAAAAATTATATATATATATATATATATATATGATATAAAGGTATTGTTGCAACAGGATAATACTTCAACAGAATAACTGAGGAAAGAAAATAACATTTGAGCCACAAATAAGCTGTTGTAAAGTGGAATGCCACTGTTTTCTCTTCAAGGAAGCTGTGCTGATCTAGATCAACTGGAGATCATATAATACAAATGTGTGAAATGGCAATTTCGGTATTTCACTCCTTTTCTATACCACCTTTCACCAGAAATAATGTACAGAAAAGCATTTGCATTTATATTATGAAATACTTATTTTATGTAGTGGGGAAAACTGGTAAGACTTCTTAGATTTCAATAAGGTGCTCTTTCATATGGCGATTTTCTTTTACACTACCTCCAGTGCATATTCAGAAGGATCAATAGGAAGCCAGAAAGCCAAGAGAGAATTGAAGTACTTATACGGAGGGAGATATGATGGGAGGCAAGAGGCAAGTGGTTTCCAGGGAAACATTGGAAAACTGGTGCCAAATATTTCCTCAGCCCAAATCCTAGGTACCAGAATGCCGAAGGCCTTGATCTGAAACTGACATTGCTGAATGGCACATCCATGTGTAGTATAATCAGGTCCTCTACATATGAAGGACAAAGTACACCTGGAATGTGTTGCTGAAATCTAGTTGGGCACAGATGTGGGGGGGAGTCCCCTTGTCTAAGATGTACCTGGCTATATTTTGGCTATTCCACCAGTCCAAAGTCTAAAGCTTTAGGAGTAAGAATGGGAATGATCCTCCAAAATACAATAGTGACTAGATACTGTGCTGCACTGATAACTGGAGGAGAGAGTGCACGTCTATGTAACTTAGCATCAGAGGTAACTTGTAGTGCCTATTCTACTGCCTAGCACCCTCCCTGCTTAAGCTGTTTGACATTATGGCTGACTCATGGCTGATTTGCCTTGATTTTTGGGGCTCTGGGATTTTAATATCCTTGACTTGAAGGTAGGTTTGGGATTACATAATTTCTATAAAGTATGGGATTTTGTTTGCAAATCACACATACTATAGAGGCCCACTGGGTTAGCCTTTATTTAGAGAAGTAGGAATGTGATCTGAAAATCAAAGACATTACTCCCAGTTCTTTGCCACAGTCGACTCATTTCCTGGCTGATGATGCCAGTTGGCACCATGGATTAAAATGGTCAGATACAGACACAGTATGGATACTACTGGAGCAATAGCAATTGCTGGGAATTTTCTCAAAAGTTTGGATAGCAGTTCAGCTATGCACTTAGTCAATTAACTTCTACAAAACGCAGAGATTATTTCAACTGCTGTAATTTGAAAGAGTATCCTTTAGATCTTGAGGAGCTGTTTGGTTAATCATGGAACTTCATTGTCTAATGATCCTTCAGCTCTATATGGTAGCAGTAAGGTTGGAAAAAGTGTTAGTACTTTCCACACTTAAGGTTGGAAAAAGTGTTAGTACTTCCCACCCTGGTGATTGCTATCTAGCAGTCTTATTAGATAGTAGTTACCCATTTCTTTTTGCAAGGTGTTTGGTCAGAAAAGCTTCCCTATACTTTTTTTGCAAGGTATTTTGTAACCCAAATAATTTTGAATTAGATGCCACATGAACAGAATCCAGTGAGATGACAGTGGCAGTATCTTGTGAACATATCTTGGATTTACTCAAAATATAAATATTAAAGAAGTGGACAATGTTCTTGGTTACAGGTCACCTTTGGAACTGATTCCTGCTTCACCTAACTAGTGTAAATTGGGGGTTGGGTTCAAGGTATTGTGAAGGTTTTTTTGAAGAGGGGGTAATGCCATGCACCTTGATATACATATATGGTGGTGTATTGTTCCTCAAGAGACCATCCGTCTTGGCCTCAAGTTGAGGAACTTGAAATGTACATACTTTGCTCTGTACCTAGATGACACACTGCAATTAAAAGCATACAACAAAAACTAACATGTGGAATGTCTTGGCAACATCAAAGTTTAGTTCTAATTACATTCACTGAGTTTCTAAGACAGTTAAATTGCACGTGTCAAAAACACTTTTGACTCACCTTTTTAACAACATTGAGTTTGTCTGGAGCATGGTCAAACAGTGTGTCAAATGCATCTCGTTCTGCAATACAGTTGATGAGAACAACCTGCTAAATGCTACATTACTGAAGCATAGGAATTTCAAAACCAGAAGGTCATCGACAGTCATCTACATTTAGTAAGAAATATTTGGTCTAGCCAAATAATCCTTGGCCATTATTTACCAAATGCACATTCACGTCAATCTATTTTGAATGTTCTCTAGCCATGCAGATTAGAAAGTATAACGAAGTATTGATTTAAGAAATGTAATTATTTTCTAATTATTAAGAAAGTATTCTTCTTTGGAAGAAATGTACATTTACAGATCAATTAAGAAAATTCAGAATGTGAACTTAGTTGACTTTGAATTATATAATATTATTAGTTGGAGAATATTTACAAACATCTACAAAATGTCGACAATCAATGTGTACTTACCATGCCGTCCTGACATTGCCCTATAGAAAAGAAATAATGCAATTATTTGTATGAGTTCTCTTAAGAGTCATTTAATACATTTTGTTCAATGCAGAAATAGGCAAAGCAAATTAAACATGCACCTGCTAATTACATTCAAAACAGAAAAGTTTGACTCTGAAAATTCCATTAAAACAAGCCACAGAAGGCTTGAATGACCAAGGAGTAGGAGGTCTATAAATCTGGTGCCACTAACTAAGAAAGCCCTTACCTGAATTGTTTCTAATTGGACTTCTCTCTAAGTTGGCACTCACAAAAACTCCTTAAAACATATATGGGGAAATTACCTTCTTGTTTAAGGAATTACTTGATTTTAAAGCTTCCTACATTGAGAACATCTCCACATCTTTACATTATTTCTATTCTTTATTATTTGGAGTGAAGCCTGTTTGAAATTTCCATTAATGGAACCCGTAATCTACAAGGAAGATTTGGTAAAGCTGGCATGTCTTAACCTTACTTGACTTACTCAGTATTGCCAGTTATTTCCTCTTGGATCTGTCGGGACTGGAGGATTCCTTCTCGTTTCTGAAAAAAATAACAATAATTAGCTATAAAATAGACTATATTTAAATTGTAAGATTATGTCCTCTCTAGTTTCTTTCCTTATTTATACTTTTATTAACTATTAATTCTAAGATGGGAATCTTCCTGAAGGAACCCTGACTCATGTATATAAGGATAGCTCAACAGGAATTTTTGTAAGTTAATGGCAAGCATTCCTTATGGCTGAATATTCATGTTACTCTTATACCTATTCTAGGGGAAGGTCAGAAATTTTAAATTGGAAACAGAAGGCAGCATAAGATCCATGATACAAGATGGGCCGAGAAGAGACTAGATGGAGACCTATATTTTAACCTCATGGAGAGTGGGGATAGACGACTATTTTTACCTGGTCATTACTGTGAATGTATTCATAACTCTTCTCCCATTTCCACATTAATAAATGCTTTTTTAATTACAAAAAAATTCTACATAAACATTCACGTTTAAATAGTTTTTTTTTTCTCAAAACCTGGAATTTCTAACATGCTTTCTGTCAAAGTAAGCATTTCCAAGTAAATTTCCAAATAATAATTGGAAATTGGTTTGAAAATCGGAATAAGCATTTTGATTTAGTTTTGAAATAAGAACAACAAACTCCAACAGACAGACACATTCTATTCTGCATTTTTTTCCTGGAAGGTACACTTCACACCTTGTGGAAATGTGCAAGAAGCTTTACATATTCCTACACCAGTGCTTTCCAACTATGGCATATTCCAGATCTGGGGATTTCAGTTCACAAGAGCGTTGATTGCCAAGAATTCTGGGAGCTGCATGCCACAACACTGCCAGTTGCTAAGTCTGGAAAACTCTGCCCTACCCTTATAAGGATGGCAGTGGTGAAAAGGGAGATTCTCCAGAAGCAAAATTCAGAAGAAAAGCCAGTTAAATATCTAAATAAGAGAATTTATAAGGCTAATTGAACTAGTCTGAATACATGTGCAGCTTCCAAAAAGAAACAGTCCAAAGCCAAGGAACTACAATAGTTTATTAAGATGGCTTTGGGGGCAAGGGAAAGACATGCTGCCTAGGGAACAATCAGGAGAGAGAGAGGGAGGGAGAGGGAGAGGGAGAGGGAGAGAGAGAGAGAGAGAGAGAGAGAAAGAGAGAGAGAGAGAAAGCTGTAGTCACTTAACTGTCAGAGAAAGAAATTTAGGAAGGACTTGCCCGAATTGGTGAGATGGTTAAAAATGGCAGTGGGAAGTTAACACTTGCAGATTTCCAAGATTCTGTTAATGTAGCCTTACAATAAAGTGGAATTAGTTCATCTTGCTGTGTTTCCTGTCTGGTTTACTTGGGAGTGCTGACAGAAATGTTCTCAACACACCGAGAAGCAATAGCAGGGAGAAACAGAGCTCATTCCCTGGCTGAACAGTCAATACTTATGTCTGTATATATTGAATGCATTTACCTACAGTGCAGTGAATATATAAAAAATTGTGAATATATATAAAAATTGTGGCCTGGCATGACAAAATCAGGATCCTGACAGTAGGCAGGAATCTGCTATCACCAGGGTTCTCTCTGAAATTCCCAGTTTGCTTCCATGTGGCTTTGTGACATGCTTCCATGTCCTCTGCCTTTTATAGAAAGAAGGACTTCAAAGTAGGGTGATTATTCACTACAGTGTTAGGATAATAATGGAAGCTGGTTCTATTACTCCTAGTGTAATTCTACAAATGTGGCATTTTGTCCTACTCATTTGGTGATGTATTCTCATATTTTTTAAGTCTTAACTACAAGAATCAAAAGGTACCCCCCCCCTTCCACTTGAAGTAATTCTTGAATAAAACCCAGGGAACTACTTTCAAGCAGGTATTGTTGCATTTGTTTTCCAAACAGCCACAAGCCAGAAGCCACAATCTCACTTGTGTATGGTTACTTATAAGAAATATAAGCTTCTTCTGCCTGTTATTTTAAGGAGACAGAAAACAGCTGGTCTTAGAAATATTTATCACAGAAGCCAGAATATTCACAGGCTCTTTCTCCAGAAAAAAAAAATATCTGAAGAACTGACAAGAGCAAATTCAGTAAAAATAATAATAATTTTAAACAGTGAATTTGAAATCGTACGCAGGTCATAGGACTGGCAGGCATTCACGAACTGATAGAAAGATCTATATTATTTGCCAGGTTGAACATGTAATATCAAAAGAGGCATTTATTAAACTTGTGTTCAGTGAGCAAATACAAATATTTGAAGTAGAAAGTAGAGCCATGCAAATCCTTTGAGGGAAATGCTTTCAACCCAGGGGAGCATATACAAAGCATCTCTTTTCAAATTGCAAAGCAGACGCCTCTGTTTCCTGGCTTTTACAAGCTGCTTTCCACATGTGTTTGCACAAGTTGCCACTTCGTTTCACATTTCCCTCGGTAAAGCAAAATGCATGTGCACACGTATGCAGACAGAGTTGGGAACAGCTTCTGAAGCAGCAATGTAAGCCTGGAAATTGGCAGACCCTTTTGTGATTTGAAAATTTTGATTTGTGTGCATATTCTTTCAGAAGATTTATGTAGTCCCAGTAGAATGCCACAAATGGAGCAAGACAACCAGAAAGGTGAAAAATATTAACTTTAGGACTCTTGCATGACAACCACAGTGTTACAATTTGCCAAAATCTGATTTAACCTTTACTATATTAATGTTACCGTTCCGCTGTTATGCTATCAGTAATGACAACAGTGCACTCAGCTCTAAAAAAGAAATGCTGTGCTTTTGACTTTTTTTCTCACTGAAGAAAGTTCAACCAGAAACATGCCTTTTTTTCCTTATACTTTCTCTGGTTTCAACAGGATACAGAAATACATTCATTCATTCATACCTGGACAACCACAACTTGAATAGACACATGATCTGGCAGCCTGATGGGGGCCCGAAAATACTGCGACAATGCAACCAAAAGATGCAGTATTGCAACCAGGCTTTTTGCATGGACAGCTGAAAGAGAGGAACTGAAATATTTACTTCCCAACTGCTATATCAGTATGCAGACTATTTTATCCTTTAACACTTTGCCCACTAGAGATTAATCCAAGGGTATTTTTGTCTGTTTCTCTTTCCTGCCATAAATCAATGGATCTTATAAAAACAACTAAATCAACATTGTTCCAGTGGGTTAGGTGTTGCATGCTCCTTGTGATTTAAGAGGTTTGGGCAGCTGAATTAAGTACTATCTATGGATACCTCGGTAACATTCCTTTATCTGCACTATTCCAATGTTGATTTATAAAATATGAGAAGGATATTTTTTAATTCATAACATGCACTTAATTTAGTTTTAAGTATCATAATGTCTGCAGGAAGATGAATGAGTCCATTTAGCTCGTACCCTTGAGCAATAATTTACTAAACAGAATGACTCAAACATTCCTCACAAACTTGTTAAAAGATCTTTCACAGCAGGCTTTGTATATGTACTCAACACTAACAGGGCTGCAAGGTATCAAAAGACTTATTATAGGAAATTTCTAATCTGCAGCCATCAAAAGAAATAATTCATAACTATATTCCAGCACTATTATCATTATTATTCTCTTAACGGGATATCCATGAATGCCATGTCAAAGTATTTGATGTTAAGCATGCTTCAATTTAAAATTAATCACATGTTATTGAACAACAATGTAACAGTACTAATGATCTATTCAACTGTATTGTTTGTCTATCTTTGATAAAAGGTCTTTTGCAAACTACTGTGAAATAGTTCCAAACAATAGATTTATTTTTTTTAGTCTACCTATAGGACAAACATGCTTAAGCAAAACAGCCTAATGTATATAGAAATAATTTCAGTCTTTATGGACGATGATCCAGCACAATATTTAGGATAAAGCCTGGAGTATTGTCTCATATAAGGAAGTCCTTGACTTACAACCATAATGAACCCAAATTTCTGTTATATGTCATGATGGTTGGAAGCTGAGGCAGCCACATGATATTTTTTGCAGCAATTGTTAAATGAATGTTAAGTGATCATTAAGCAAATGTGGGAGTTGATAAACTAGCCCATTGTCCAGTGCTTTTTGCCGAAAATCAGAACAAAACACTGGTTTCTGGCAAAAATGTTGTAAAACGTAGTCATATAACTATGGGATGCTACAAATGGTCATAAATGTGGGTCAGCTGTCAAGTGCCCAAAATTCAATCAAATGGCTGGGGGGAGAGGCAAAGGCTGCCATTAGAAATTTGGATATATATCTTTTGGGGGAGGGGGGGAGAATCCATCATAACTTCAAATGGTACTAAGTGAGTGGTCTAAGTTGGAGATTCTCCTGTACTTGATTTGGATGAAAGAATTCTAGTGTTAATATCCTTTTAGCCAGGAATACTTCTGGGAAAGTCATTTTTTTGTCAACCTAACTCAGCTAACCAGGAATTGAAAGGGATAAACAGAAGCATCTCTTGGACATGTTTATAAATTCTTTGCGAAATTTAAGGAGGAAAATGTATTAAAGGATTTGCTCCAAAATTTGTGAGAAAATTCTCTGGGCAACAGACAATACGAAAAATAACAACATTACATAGACTAGACTTTTTATTTTCCTGTGAATCAACTCCTTTGGATTTTCTTGGATATAAGTCTTTTTCGCACTTATTATTCTACAAAGCCCCATAGCAAATTATATCAGAAACCAGAAAAAAAGACCTCTCCAGTTTTGAACAAAATATTCCTTGACGAATGCAACACTTTGCCTTCATTCATGAATGCTACATGGCATGTACAATTGGAATTTAAACTTATCAACATTTTTGTACAAAACATTTCTGGCTTTTTTCTTATTTAATAAATTTAACACAATTTTAATGCAATATGTATAGTACAAATTCTACTGTAAATAAATAACTTACAGTCCACATTCCATTTGATGCTCCTTGGAGGAAGCTTAAGGGTTTCATTGATCTTTTCAAGTACTGTCTGTAGCTTCTGTTTCTGAGCTATTTCAGACTGTGTGACTTCAGCCACATTGAGTTTCTCACTCTCAAGCTTCTCTGAAGTGATAATGGAAGAAAAAACAAGTCTTTGCCTCAACTCCATGTACCAAGTTCAATGTGAAGACATTCTGTTCCACATATTCCAAAATGGATTTTCTATAGAGAAACTAATTTAAAATTTCAAAAGTAACCACTGACAATTCACCTAGCAAATCTAAGTACAGTAAGGAAAACCTTTCCTTCTATTGCAGATTTCAATACTTTTAATAAAGCACAGTTATTTCAATACATTTTACAATTATTTCTTCTAAATATCATATCTGACAGTATTGACTAATGAGGTTCCTGGATAAAACAATCTAGAATATTTTACTAATGTTAATTATAGTAACGCTTTTTCAAAACTTTATAGTATAGTTTTTCTCAAAAACGGCCTATAAATCTGAATGTCATCATTAAATATGGTAGCACTACAGAAAGACAAATTTCAGAATGTAACTGAAGTTTTCAAGTCAGAGAGGTCTAATTTAAGATGCTGAGTAAAAATAATTTAAAATATAATACATGGCATATAAAGATAATGGTTATTTGCTGTTTAGACATTGTGACCATTCATTGGATAAAATCTGTGAAAAGTAGGAACAAACTATTCTTAGGAAACAGAAGGCACCTATCTTTTCTTATTTCTTGGGTTTGTTTGTTTGTTTTTAAAACCACTCTGTATAAAGGCAAAATTTCATCACACTATGCATGAAAATAAAATTAGTTCTTACCAAAGAGTTTTTGCAGTACTTGTCCATCATACATGTCTTCAGCCAGATCTTTTACAATTATTCTTTCTCCTACTAATACATCGTTAATCCAGTCTATTAATACCTTTGTTAAGAGACCAAGATTTAGCATTATTACCTATGCATCATCGCAAATGTATGTTGTTCAAAAGTATGATGTTCAAAACAATAGGAAAAAACTCAACATAATTTACCAAAGATGCAGTGTATCAAGTTAAATACAAGAATTAAAATATTGATATTGAAATATTAATATTTATGACTGGTGTATGTTATATTGTATCAAATGTGTTAAGCTACATTAAAAAAAAAAGCTACCCATTTTTCAGTGTCCCAAATACTGAAGTTACTTTTATAGCAGAATCGTATTTTTCTAATCAATTATCAGTAGACATTACATCTACTTAATGATGATTGCTGGATGAGAAGTTACTGGGTAAGACTGGGTATTTAAGCATGAGGTAAAAGGTAAAGACATCCTCAAGTCACGTTCGGATCCTAGTAATCAGATGAACACAATTACGAAGGGTTTTTTTGGCAATGATTCAGAAAGGACAAACAACATCAATTTTTTTTTCAGTTTTCCAATCAGTACTAAAGATTAATATACAGTAGTTAATATACATGAAGTAAACAATGAAATAAAGAATGTTCTTCACATTCCAATATTTGCTCTCTCAGCAAATAAATCACTTACAGTAAATTCTATTTTTAGCTTTTTTTTTGTTCATAGAAGAAAATGTTGGACTAATTATTAGTCCAACTAAAATTTAGTCTAATTTTTCAAGGAGATACACTTTCCGCTATTAAAAAGCTATATGTAAGTTTTGAATAGCAGAAAAAACTCTCTTTCACTTTACGCAAAGTGGACATGGAAGTGTCTTCAAAATTATCTCAATCTCAGTAGTGAAAACTTTTGGAATAGGATGACTGTTCTTAAGCATATTGTTAGAAAAATATTAATTGCATAGAATTATTAGAACTATCATCTCTAATTTCAGCAGTGCTAGAAGTTTAGTTGATCTTTCTTTTTTCTTTTTAATCTTCAAAAGTCACTAATATTGGATTGGATGAAACGTAGGTGGTCCATTGATTTTATTAAATTCCTATCAGGCTCTCAACTCACCAAGAAAAACCTGCTACTCGTCACATGAATTAGAGTTTAGAAATTATGGTGAAACTCCCTTTGGCCAACAAAATTAACTAAATCTTATTTCCGCTTACAAAATGGGCACTCCATAACAGTTAATTTAAGGGAAAGATGATTTTCAGGAATTTCAACTATCTTTTGTAATCCTCCAAAAATCTGTTCTAGAAGCTTGAGGGTTCCCAGGAGCATATGGGAAGGACTGCAGAGTATAGGAAAAATTGGCCAAAATAGTTTCTCTATTTTGTTCCTTATTTTAGTGAATTAAAATGAAATGAAATGATCTTCCATTGATGGGATATTACTTTTTCAATTTCAGTTTATACTGTGGCATTCCCATTAAATTTAAAAATTACCTATTGTTTCTCTTAAAAACTTCAAATATGTCTGGTTTTAAATAAGTTGACATTCAAACCTGGGAAAAAAACCCTCATCTCTGAAGAAATGGAACTGCAATACGCTCTTTTCTTCCCACATGCTAAAGAATATTAATTTCACAAGTCTTTGGTGCCTATGATTAAGGTTTTAAAAATGCAGATTGTTGATTTTCGGTCACTGGGTATATTTTTAATTCTGCCATAACTATGAATTATTCCCTTTTTGTTCAGCTTATTATCTGTTGTTGTATTTCAGGTTTATTTGTTTATATCTTGGAAAGTCTAACAGAGTTAAATAGCAAGATTAAAACTATTTTAAATAAATATCTAACCCATTTAGAAAATAAAATGTCAGGGAGCAATCAGTGTTAAAGCTATAATCCGCAAACTATTTTGTGCTAAAGGAATCCAGTGATTCACAAGCCATTTGACTTTAAACACAGGAAATATGTTTTACAATGAGTAAAGTCTTGAGTAAATGGTGGTAGGAGAAGGCTGGATGTGATCCAGTAACACAAAAATAAAGTTCAAGAGAATGAAACAGCTTACTTTATTTTGCCTGAATTTTATAGACTACTTTCAAAGTGAAAGAACAAGTATTACCTTCATTAGCTCCTGTAGTTTTGGGTCACTTCTTGAATTGGGATCAATCATTGTTCGAACTTCATTTTCCTCTTTGAAAAAAAAAATGGAAAGAAATGAAGAAGGAAGATTCCTCATAAAAAAAGGCATATTTATCACCATCTTAAATGAAAAAAAAAAGTATTTCAAATTACCTAACATAGTATCTTCAGGATCTAATTCAAAAGGAATTGGACTGAGTGGTAAATTTATGGCATTTATTCCTTCTTCCTGTAGTTCAGATACTGAAAGGAAAGGGGAAAAAAAGGTTAGTGAAATTTAATTTTTTTTCTTGATATTACAATGCCTTTCGGTAGTAATAACGAGTGCACTTTATGTTCTTATCCAATGTCGAGACATAATTGTAAAGTGAAGTGAGCAGGAAACAAAATGCGAAACTGAGAAATAAGAGTAAAAAGCAAAAATCATTGAGGACTTTCATGACTGCAACTTTCTGCTAACTTCCAACAAGTAATGTTAGTGGGGCTGGAAGTTGTAAATCCTGGAAAACTTGCAAGCAGACCAGAGGACTTGTGGGTAATGGCCACTGATAAAACAGTTCTATTGCAATAATCATGCAAAGAATGCATGCACCCATTAAATCATACAAAACAATGTGTTCTATACAAGTGTTTTGAAAACTGAAACCGCACCACAACACTCCCTCCTCAACCCACATCCACTCATGTGGCACCGCAGCAACCTCTCCCTAGCCTGAATCCTCTTTCCACAACACCTTACTCTGCAGTACCCACAAGTCCTCTGTCCTGCTTGCAAGTTACTCAGGACTTACAACTTCCAGCCCCACTGATATTGCTTGTTGGAAGCCAGCAGAAAGTTGCAGTCGTGGCAGGTCTTCAACAACCCATGATTTTTGCTTAACAACAGCAACAGGGAGTGTGGGATTGCAAGCAGGCCAGAGTTGTTAAGCAATACGGTCACGTGATATCTCATTTTATCATCATTTAGCTGCATCACTTAGCAATGGCAATTCAGTTCCCAATTACCCTTGTTAAGCAAGGACTACCTTAAATGTTGCACATCTAAGATGCCAGTTCTGATTTACTTCAGAATTACTGCAGAAAGAGTGCCAACTCTTATGTATGTGTAGATTTCTGCTAGGTAGATTATGGGGGATGGGGCCCAGGGAAGATATGCAATGTTTTGCAGGAATACCAATTCTCTTGCTCCCTTATATCTGTGGAACTCTTCATATTTATGGAATTGAATCTCTAATCATATTCAGCAGTAAAACTATCCCCAATTTGAAGAACCTGACACAAAAATCGACAATGAAGAATACATTCCTGTCCATCACTAATCTAGAAGCAGCTTTCTTTCCCCAAATAAAAGTATATAAATAAATTCTGCCCTTTAAAGCCCCTAGAAACTGATGAGTCTATCGGAAAGCATAAATAGCAGTGCCTGCAAGGTTTAAATTAGCTTAATTTCTTTAGTATATGCAGGCATGTCCTCCATGCTGTGCTTTATTAGACTTTTTCATGTCTTTTGATGCCTATTTATATTTCCTTTCATTAGTGATTTCAAACATTCCACCTTGAAGGCTTCTTACTACTTTATTTCAGATTATAGGGAAGAAAAAAAAGAGGAGAAGCTGCTACTAACGGTTAACAACACACTGTGCTGTTCAACAGTTATCGTTTTTTAAAGCCTGGGAAAGTGGGGGGGACAGGTCTATGTTTGCTTGGGCAAGCAATTACTGATCTTTCCTAACTAGAAAAAAGAAATGAAAGAGGAAGCCACATATATTTTCCTAATTCTGTAAACATAATCCTTATTGTTTAGGCCTTGGGTACAATGGGCTTGTTATTTGTTTAGCACAAATCTGTACCAATGTATAGTTTCGGTTTCCAGGTGCTCCAAAGAGGAGTTAATATACTTTAATTAGAACACAAAATGGGATTTGTCAAAAGCACACCTGACCACCTAAAACCTACACAAGAGCACTGAATCCAGAAGCATCCCGAAGATGCACATTGTGTTTTTAGGAATTGTGTAACCCCATCAACATCAGTGACATTCCATTACTCAAATAATATAATTTTCAATCCAAAGAAGCATCCAATTTTTTAGTATAAAGTCTGCTCTCCCTCATCCAAGAACTGAATATGTGTGGCGATTTATAAGTTCCATAGACTCCAAAACGAAGAATTAGTGGAAAATAAAAGCAGTGTTGTCTATAATGCACAAACTGTTGATAATGAGATTCATAATACAAATGGCTTATTTCAGTGGTTTACATTCAACATGTGTGCCCATAAACACATCCTCTGAGGATTATCAAACTGTGGAATGAAAGTGAATCACACAATATTACTTAGATAGACAAGACTCCTAATGTGCCTCATAAATCCAAGCCAGAAAGCTATCATAAGGGAACATCATGATCAATACTATCAAACACCAGTGAAAAACATACACGATTATTCTAGCCACATTTATTGATCAGACATACAAGTCTCCTTTCATCTCCAAAGCAGGACATACAGTAATCTAGGCTGGAGAGATCTAGGTAAAATGCTTCGCTCCAAAATTATAAAGAGTTGAGACCTTTCCTTTTTCTAGCTCATAAAGATAGTTATGAATAAATGATAGGCATTTCTAAAGGTGTCTATCAGTAAGGATTGGGCATTGGTATTTTATGCACATTACAATTATTTAATGATTTGGATGCATTTACCTGCCATGGTTCAAAGTATCTATATATCTACAATATACCTGCTGTTTTAATATTGACCTATATTGACTAGGGCAGTGTTGGCAAACTTTTTTGGCACTGAGTGCGAAAATGGGAGTGCGCGTGTGCACGCTGGAAACTGGAAGAGCAGCCGCTCAGTGCGCATGTGCACCGGCCAGCTGGTCTTCACGCACGCACACATGCCAGAAACAGGAAGACCAGGTGGCTGGTGCACATGTGCATGCTGGAAACCGGAAGAGCAGCCGCCCAGTGTGCATGTGCACGTTGGGAAAATGATCTTCTGGTTTCCAGTGCGCATGCAGCTGGTCTTCACGCGTGCATGTGCACCAGAAACTGGAAGACCAGGTGGCCGGTGCGCATGCACATGCTGAAAACAGAAAGACCATCTTCTTGGCGCATGCACGCGTGCCGGCCAGCTGCTCTTCCGGTTTCCGGTGCCTTCACATGAGTGAAGACCACCTGGCCGGTGTGCCGGAACCTGGAAGAGCAACTGGCAATGGCTCGTGTGGAGTGCCACTTCCTGCATACCATTTCCGGCATGCATGACATAGGTTCGCCATCACGGGACTAGGGCAGCTGAACATGAATATGAATAATACTGTCTAAAAGTGGCATTGGCAATAGGTTAGTCAGACTAAGTGCATAAAGCCATCAAGTATACAGACTAACTCTGTGAACATTGAACAGAGGTAACTGTGGGAAAGAAATGGAATCCACACTGCTTAGTTACGGGAGTAACATGCCTCCAGTCCCCCCCTCTCTTCCTCCCTCCCTCCTTCCCTCCCTCTGTGTGTGTGTGTGTAAAATACCACCTCCTTTCCTATTCAGTTTTTAGAAACAATTATGCATGCAAAGACAGAATTTTATTTCATATAGGTGGAACACCTTGTGGTTTTGTTTTTTAATCAAGTTTAACAATTATTGTTTATTAATACATATTTAAAAAATAAAATAGGATGAATAAATGTTATTTATTAAAACCAATGTACCATTCTAGTTTCAAAAATAAATATATTGTAAATGTTTTATTCAGTGATATTATTATTATTATTATTATTATTATTATTATTATTATTATTATTATTATTATTATTATTGACCCATAAAGGGAAATTAATTTAGACCAGTCCCCAAACCATGCAGGCTCACTATAAAATATAGAATTAGTAGTCCAATACATCTGCAAAATATCAAATTGGGGAAGTTAATATATAGCATACCTTTCATTTTTATTGATCCTATTACTTTTTCAGAAAATGTAAGCAATTCAATATTTAAATTTGAAAAAAATCCCATGATTGACATCAAAAGGAAGTAGCAATGAAGATAAGTAAAAAAAATACTAAGAAAATGATACATATTTAGTTTGCATGAATACTTGTATGCGCACATTAGATTTCATTTAGTTTGTGTAATTTTAAAAATATAAACACAATTGTGTGACATATGCACACAATACAAAAACTGTTTTGAGCTTAGCAACAAAATGCTAACAACTGATAATTAAATGTGTAAATGTATTATTGGGAGCAAAATAGTTATTTCACAACCTCCATAGAAATATATTTGCAATTACACAGATGGCTGTTTATGAGGTGTTCATTCAAAACAGTATCTTCAGAATGTAAACCATACATTGTTAAACAATAAATGTCCATTCATTCTTAAAGGAAGGAAGAGGAGATGTGTTTACAACTGAAAATATTTTTCAGAAAACCATCTGTACAGAGCTAAATCCCACATCCATTAATTGCTGACTCCAAGCCAATCGCTTCTAAAAGTGAATACAGTATGCAAACAACAGGCATCAATCTGATGATGATGCATTACTACTTATTCTCAGAAATGCCCATTTTCCATGGTTGCATAATTTCTCTTTTAAATAAAACATAACTAATAAGAAGTCAGAAAAACAACAGCACAGAACTGTTTGGAATATAATGCAAATTAAGGACCTGGCATCTTGAATTTTTCTCAACTGCTCACTATTTTATTCCATCCTTGTTTTGTTCTACTTCTGATTATATGGAGCAAATTAATGTTACAAAGATATTGATTAAAGGAAAGAGTAACATAAGATGCCCACTACATAATTATTGTTCTGGCAAACACAATTAATTTTGTTGTCATTATAACGTCGATACTACTTTTATACTTGTATTTTCGCCTGAAAAGAGAAAAACAAAGTATGACTTGTGTATAGCAACCCTCCTTGTTTCCCAAGTTGTGTGGTCATATTTATTATGTTTCTATATTGCTGGATTCAAAAACAACTCCAAGTAGTTTACAACATATAACAAAATGTGGATGGTTCTTGTATGATTGCACAATAAAGTACTGATCCAGAGGCTTGAAGGGGGCAGATTTTGATTGGGGGGGGGGGGGAGAAAGCACAAATAATTGATTGACTGACTGACTGACTGACTGACTGACTGATTGGGGTAAATACACCACTTCAATCCAAGCGGTTTATAGCCTCTTGCATGACTAGATTCTCAAATGGCAAAACTGGCTGGGTTTGGGTGA